ATACATTTATGTTCTCATTTATGTTGGAAAGATGTTGGAAAAGCTATTAGGAAGGAGTTGTTGGAAATGACAAAATTCTGTTCAGTCAAGACAAATAAGCCCAAAGTTTTAAGAGGCATTTCTCCTTTTCCTTTGCAGCATTAAAAATGCTGTGCGTAAAAAATGATCTCATTACAATGTTGTTTTCCTTTTGAGGACAAAACCTAGTTTGTTTGATGAAATGTTTCAAAAAATCCAGGCAACTGGCAACAGGCAAAGCCCTGTCCTCTTGAGGCTAAAACTGGTCTGCTGTTAAAAGAATTCTGCACAAATTGAAGGATGGCATACTTTCCCATCAAAGGAACAGGGCCCCAGGAAGTATCGCTTTACTTCCTTCTGCTTTTCTCATTTTTCACCACAGATCAACCTGTAATAATTCTGTGTTTTGCAATGTTATGGTTATGTGTCACCTCCCCATTCCTACCTTGTCCAAATTGTAACAGAATTCTTGCTGAAATACAACATTTCTGGAACCACTAACGGAAAGGGCTGGATTATTATTTCCTTGTCTGAAGGAACTGGGCTGAGGATGACATTGGAGGCCATAAGGGGAATATCCCATTTTACTCTGAAGAAAAATGGGAAGCCTATATCTGGGTCTACTGAAAAATATTGCTTTTTTTTTTTAAATTCGTCTTTATTGAGTTTTCAATTTTAAAAGAACAAGGGTTAACATATATATAGACACATTGGGTAGTATCATACATTCAACCTGGTTGACAATACAAACATACATTCCATAAGGGTTACACACAATTAAAACCATGTGACTTCCATGTTATGTCCTATCAGATACAGTTACTTGTTGCTTGTGGACCCTCCCTTACCCCCTCTTTGTTTGGGGGGCAGGGTTCCACTCTTGTTGATCCTTTATTTTCGTTTCCTTTATTTTATATTATTTTTTCCTCCTTTCCTTAATTTCTTTTACTGCTCTGAGGCAGATCAGTTTTCCTCTCTTTTCATCTCATAGTCTTCCACCATTTCCCAGTTCGTTTTGGATGGTGGGTTTCCTGACCCTTTCTTCAGATAGAACGTCAGTTTGTCCATATCTTTGATGTCTCTTAGCTTCTCTAGCCACTGATCTACCGTGGGTCTTCCTTCTTCTTTCCATTTTTTAGCAAATGTGAGTCTTGCCGCCGTTGTTATATAAGTGAAAATTCTATCTTCATTCTGTTCTAGCTTTGTGTCTTTTTCTGTTAAGCCAAGTAAAAAGATCTCTGGCTTAAGAGGAATGTCCTTTTTTAGAATTTTTTGTGACTCTTCTCTTATTTCTTTCCAGAATTTCATAGCCACAGGGCATGTCCACCATAGGTGGAAGTAACTTCCTACTTTGCTTTTACACTTCCAGCAGGTATTTTTATATCCTCGGTACATTAGACTTAGTTTTTGTGGAGTTAGATGCCATCTGTGAAAACATTTTAACCAGTTTTCTTTTAGTGAGGTAGAATAGGTGTATTTCATTTTTTTCCTCCAGATGTTTTGCCATTCCTGGATCTTGACTTCCCTGCCGAAGTTTTTAGCCCATATAACCATACATTCTTTTACTCCCTCTGTCTCAGTTTCCCATTCTAGCAACTGATTGTGTATTTTTGTTATTGTTTTCTTTTCGAGTTTTAAGATTTTGTCCCAGATTGTGTCTTTGGCTTCAAACCCTACCTTCAAGTCCTGTTTATACGATTCATTTAATTGATGGTATTGTAACCATGAAATATTTCCTATGGTGCCTTCCAATTCTGTTTTAGGTTTTAAGTTCCAGGTATTATCTTTGTTGTTATACTTGAGAAGATCCTTATATTTAGGCCAATTTTTCCAGCCAAGAAGTCTTCTTTGTCTGGCCTCTGTCGGCGAGACCCATAGTGGGGTCTTGGTATGGAAGTATCTTTTATATCTATTCCAGACTTTTATAAGCGCCGACCTAACGAAATGGTTGCCAAAGTTCTTTTCTGCTCTAATTTTGTCGTACCAAAGGTACGCATGCCAACCAACTCTTAAGTTAAAGCCTTCTAGCTCTAAGATTTTTTCGTTTTTTAGCAAGGCCCATTCTCTAAGCCAGTCTAATGCACACGCCTCGAAGTATGTTTTAAGGTTAGGCAGACCAAAGCCCCCTCTTTCCTTCTTGTCTATCATGATTTTGTGTTTGATCCTTGCTTTTTTGCCGTTCCAAACGAACTTTCCTATATCTTTTTTCCACTGATCGAATACTTTGTTATTTCTTATGATGGGAATGTTCTGGAACAAATAGAGGAGTCTGGGCAAGACATTCATCTTAATTAAAGCAATGCGTCCAAGGAGAGAGAGGTTTAGAAATCTCCATTTGGTCAGGTCTGTTTTGACTTTGGCCCATGTTGCCTCATAATTATTTTTGAAAAGTTGGGAGTTCCTTGCCGTTATCCAGATCCCCAGGTATTTGATTTTGGAGCAGACTTTGAAGCCTGTTATTGTGGCTAGTTCTTCTTGTTTTGATTTTGACATGTTTTTTGTTAGGAGCATCGTTTTGTTTTTGTTTACTTTAAAACCCGCCACCTCTCCAAATTGGTCGATCTTCTCTAGCCATTTTCTGATGTTCTTCACTGGGTCTTCTACTATGCAGATTATGTCGTCGGCGAATGCTTTTGTTTTATAGTTCTGTTTGGCCACTTTGAGTCCAATGATCTCTTTGTCCTCCCTTATCGACTTTAATAATGTCTCCAAGGCAAAGATGAATAGGAGCGGGGACAGTGGACACCCCTGCCTAGTGCCCTTTGTAATCGTTATCTTTTCTGTTCTTTGGTTGTTAATTACGATTCTTGCTGTTTGATCTGTATATATTGCGTTAATCGCATTTTTGAAGTAGAAACCTATGTCTATTTCTTCCAGAAGCAGTTTGAGGAATGACCAGCTGAGATTGTCGAAAGCTTTCTCTGCATCCAGAGAAAGCCACGCAACCTCTTTTTGAGTATTGGTATCATAGTATTCAACCAAATCAATAATGGTTCTCATGTTGTCTTTGACTCCTCTGTTTGGCAAGAAGCCTGCTTGCTCGTCGCCTGTCCATCCTTTTAGCAGTGTTTTTAGTCGCTTAGCCATTATATTGGTGTAGATCTTGTAATCGGCATTAAGGAGTGAAATAGGCCTGTAGTTTTGTACTTCAGCTGGGTCTGTATTTTCTTTACCTATAAGCACTATTTCTGCTTCCTTCCACGTGTCCGGGATAATACTAGTTGTCAACGCAAGGTTCATTATTTTTTTGAGATAAGGAGTTATTTCATTTTTCATGGATTTGTAGAATAAAGCGCTAAATCCATCCGGGCCGGGGGCTTTGCTGGAGTCTAGTTCTTTAATTGCTTCTTCTATTTCCTGTGTTGTTATTTCTTTGTTCAATCCTTCCCTTTGCTCTTCCGTTATTTTTGCTAGTTTTAGGCTTGCTAGATATTGGGTTATCTTCTCTTCCTTTATTGCTTCTTTTGAATATAATCTTGTGAAGAAGTTATGAAATTCTTCCTGTATTTCCCTATTGGTAGTTAGAAGGGTATCTTCCTTTCTGATCTTTGTTATATATGTTGATTGTTTCTTTTTCCTAACCTTCCTGGCTAGCCACTTGCCAGGTTTGTCCGCATTTTCAAAGTGTTGTTGTTTTGCGTATTTATACTTCTTTGCAAGGGTTTCCAGGTCTAGATGGTATTTCCTCTTCTTCAGCCTGTTCAGTTTTTTAATTGTTGAATCGTTCTCCGGATCTTTTTTCAGGGATTGTTCTTTCTCCTCTATTTCTTTTTCGATTTCTTTCATTTCTTTGTTTCTTTTTTTGTTCCTGATGGCGTTTTGCTTGATCAGATTGCCTCGCATTACTGCTTTTAGGGAGTCCCAAACCTGAAAGATATTGCTATGTGCATAATAAATGTATCAACCAGCGTATCCCTTTCCTCCTAGGTAAAGAAGGTCCTGCTAAACTAGGATAGCATTAAATTACCTGGGAAAGCCAAAAGCTCAAACACTATTTCCATCCTAAATATCTTGGTGTCACCTTAGATTGAACACTAACATTTAGGAAACACTGAATGAACACCAAGCATAAAGTAGTTGCACACAATAATATCCTGTGGAAACTTACTGGCAGCACATGCGGAGGAGACCCAAATTTAATAAGAATATGAGCCCAGGCCTTGTTTTACTCAACTGCTAAGTATGCCTGCCTTGATTGGCATAAGTCTGTTCACATGAAGGTGAACATAGCACTGAACAAAATATGCAGAATAATCACAGGATGTCTGAAACCTACACCTATTGATAGACCCTACAAGCTAGCTGGCATGCCCCCCCCCCCCCGGATGTGCGACGGGAAATTGCTGTGAGAGAAAGAAGGTTGAGCACTGTGAAAACCATCTACTGCATGACTATCAGCCTCCTCCCATAATATTGAAATCAAGAAAAAGCTTCATGAGAACCACCACTCCTCCTAATGTTCCCCCAGAAACAGCAAGAGTATCCCTCTAAGAAAAACTAAACCAGGAAATCCCAATTGGATGGCCCACCACAAAGATCTGCCTCTAGGGGCAAACCAAGAATGGTCAACTTGAAAGTCCCTGAACAGACTTGGAAGTGGAATGGGCAGATCACAAGACAGTCTGCTGAAATGGCACTACCTCAAAGAATCCTCTACCTTGTGTGACTGTGGAGCAGAACAAACAACTCTGCATCTGTATGCTTTTCCACAATGCCCTGCTTCAAGTAGAGAGAAAGAATTGTTTAAAGCTACAGACAATGCAGTCGCTGTTGCCTGGTTTTGGTCAAAAATTATTTAGCCGCTTGTGCTCCTATTTTTTATCAGTTTTATACTTAGGTATGCAATGCTTTTGACACAAAATAAATAAATGATAGAATCTAACCTAGTTTAATTCAACACTTCCTTTTCATATAATTTCCAGAACATTTCTTGAATGTGCAGTCTGCACAATCTAACTGGGAGGTGAGAAGGTCACTCTTACCCATTTCCTTGAGTTCCATGTTGAATAGTTCCAGCCAACAAGCATCGATTTCATCCAAATCATAGCGACTTTTTCTTTGGGAGAACGTTCTGGTGACATCTAAACTATCAGAGCTGGACAGGTTGCTTGGTGAGGTCTGTGGTGAAGAATGCTCTAGCAGAGGAAGTATCCTTTTAAAAAAAGGAAAGAAAAAAATAGCATGAAAGAGAAGTATATGATGGAGCCAGCTCATTAGTAGTGGGACAGATGTTGCTATGCTCATAAACTCATGAAGTATGGTAAGCAACCAAGTAAAGCAATGGCTGGTTAAATTACCTTTGTGTCTGTGTGACCATCTTAGTGCAAGACGCTATGTGCATCCATTTTTCTTTTTAAAAAATCGATAAATTTATTCAATTTTTTTCAGCAATATAAGTGGTATTAAACAAATTATAAAGATAGTAATTTTCCCATAGATAAACGTAAAGGCTTCCCTTGACATTAAGCCTAGTCATGTCCAACTCTGTGGGTTGGTGCTCATTTCCATTTCTAAGCCGAAGAGACAGCGTTGTGCATAGACACCTCCAAGGTCACGTGATTAGGATGACTGCATGGAGAACTGTTACCTTCCTGCAGAAGTAGAACCTATTGATCTACTCACATTTGCATGTTTTCTAACTGCTAGATTGGCAGAAGCCGGGCCTAACAGCAGGAGCTCACCCCACTCCCTGGATTCGAACCACTGACCTTTCGGTCAGCAAGTTCAGCAACTCAGTGTTTTAACCCACTGTGCCACCAGGAGATCCCTTTCCCCATATATGACTTTTATACCTATATCCACCAGTTAAAGTGGACTTCCCCCATCTTCACTAAAAACAAGAATCAAAATAATAAAAATAAAAATGCTAAAATGAAACTCCCATCTCATATTCTTTTAAAAAGTCACCAGTTGACTTCATCTTTATCAAACTTGTCCACTTCAGCAATTTCTAGAACATTTATGATCCCATTTTCTTTTAGGAGTAGTTATTTAGTTTTCCATTTTTATGCATAAATTAATCATGCTGCAGTGATCATTTAATGCAATCACTTGAAATTCATGGAAGGGGCTACCTTTTTCTTTAATTGAGAAGAAAGACTTTCCTGAAAAATATCATTACCTGTTTCCAGCTGCACAGAGAAAAAACTCTTCATCCAAACAGAACCCACTCCCTAGCTTTTAATCCTAAAGCTTTTAGTTGCTGTATCAAACTGGACCTCCAGCATTAATTATGAAATAATTGCAAGACCGTTTGAGATTGTGCACTTCATTCTTGAGCAGTGGTTCTCAACTTATGGGTCCCCAGGTGTTTTGTCCTACAACTCCCAGAAATCCCAGCCAGTTCACCAGCTGTTAGGATTTCTGGAAGTTGAAGGCCAAAACATCTGGGGAGCCACAGGTTGAGAACCACTGTTCTAGATGCAAGACCTTCTACTGCTATTCTTATAAGACTATGGAAAAAAACCAATAAACTAAGTAATTGCCAATATGATGCCCTTTAATAAGTCTCCAAAATCTGTTTTCTAAGGCAGACTGTTTCACAACTGTTTATTCATAGGGCTGGCTGCATCAGCCTGGCAGAAGTAATGCTCTAGAGAGAGGTAATCCATTTGGAGAATCCAATTGCAATTTGCCCCAGCATTATATGTAATTCCAGATGACAAAAATACTCTGACGTACACACAGATATCCTAATGCTTAACATTACCCTAGATTATGGTAAGAAAGACATGTACATGAAACTAGTTATTAATAAAGAGATTTGAAAGTAAGAAACTTTTTTAAAAGAAGAAAATTCAGCAAAACTCTTGTAGAGGTGCAATATTCTGAAGGACCTCTACAGAAGCTATGTGTAAGTGAAGAACTTTTCTGGATGGTCAAAAGAAAAGTAACACAACTAAAGATGAGTGTGTAAATCTTTGGTCTAGGATCTCATTTGAAGCCCAAGGGAAGAAGGTTTTTTTAAAAAATGTTTATTTAAGTCTGGCTCAATTTTCTGTCTCACCACAGTTTTGATGATACAGTTGCCTTTGTTAAGTATGTCAATTTTTCTGTTTCCTGTCCTCACAACCTGATATTCAAAGGGAAAATACACTGTTATGGGTTATATCCAGTGACAAGACTGAACTTTCCCTGAAGTCACATCTACTTTAGCAGAAGTGTTAAACCTGAGAGAATAATTTATATTTAGTCATAATGGTGCCTATTTTAAAAACATCAGTTATATTCTTTTTTCCACTGCTTGCATTTCTTCTAAGCAGAGACTCCACTTTCTACAGCAGCCTCCAGATTTGTAGATCTACAACTGTGGTCCTACATGTCTGAAGGGTGCTGGGCTGGAGAAGGTGATGGAGGTAGACATCTATTAGCTCTGTAAGTACTTTCTGGAAACAAACCTACTATAGATCAGTATCACTCTTGCTTTTCGTTCCTTATGCAATGCAGATTCAATGGACTGGTCTTTGGAGAGCTGCTGGAGTGAATGAGGAATTGAATAGATGTTTCTGCCCTTGGACAGTAGATTAGGTGCTTTTTGTCTTTAACTTCTCAGTGGTTCTACTGCTACACAATACAATCCCTCTATCTGTGGGGAAAATGTTTGCAGACTTCGCGTAGATAAGCAAAAGCAAAGATAATAGTGAATCCTTTTTTTTTCAATATGATAAATGAGGGAGATCCCAAGAGGCCCTCACTTGTACAGGAAGCCCGAAGTCATTTTAGTACTGCCAGATATTTCCCCCCACTATATCTGTGTCTCTCTCCTCATACTGCAGTAACATTGCTTTGAATCCTGTTCAGAAGCTACAGATGCTTAACCTGGAGTCACACATTTGCAATTGTGTGGCATTCATGATTCCTACATAGCCCCTAGTTTAGGGAAAGCTAAGGGACTATGAACAGTGGTTCTCAACCTATTTGGTCCACAGATGTTTTGGCCGTCAACTCCCAGAAATCCCAGCCAGTTTACCAGCTGTTAGGATTTCTGGGAGTTGAAGGCCAAACATTTGGGGACCCACACATTGAGAACCACTGACCTAAGTGAATAAGTGAAACTGTGGATAAATGGAACTACATATATTGGTTTTGTGGATATGGGCTTATACTATAATTACAAAGTACTGCTTGTGGTATAGAGTACAGTGTGAAGGGGTCCTAGGTTTTGGGGCACAGAGTAGTATGAATGGGTAATAAGTTGTGACACATATGAACAGAGAAACTCCAAAGAGTCCCTTGTTTCCTCCTGCAGTACATTCAGGGGGCAGTCCTGTCTGTCACAATTATTCTTCCCCATCACTATCTCTTATTTGAACCTTCTTGGTATGCAGCGTTACATTGAAAGCACAGGCAGATTATGTCCTTTAGAGCTTATAGGTAACATTACATAACTAAGTTCATGTGATTAGTTCCTTTGCCCAGTAATGAAAGCATAATACATCACAATTATAAATTAACAAGGGATACCTTCACTTCTTTCATGGTCTAAAAATAATCTTTGAAGCTTTTAAGCTATGAGGTTCAGGCTTTGCTAAATAGTAAAGGGGGACTATCGGTCATAATTCTGATTTGTGCTCTGTTGCTATGCTGAGGCAGAAGGTGCCTTGTACCAGGACAGCAGCTCTAAGCATTTAGATTTTTTTAAAAAAAAAATTAACCAGTAGTATCTATTTTAATTACTTTTGAGAAATGGGGGAGTAATGTGCTACTTTTTTTTGGGGGGGGGGGGAATCCAGAAACTACCTTTGTAAGCTCCATCCTTAGTCTGTACGTAACCTTTATGACTTTTAAAAAGGCCACTGCAAACTTCCAAACAGTAAACTAGCTTGGGGGCCTCTGGAATTATAACTGTAAATGTTTACTTTAAAAAGTAACTTTACAAGGATTATCCTCAATCATTACATTTACTTGTAAAAAGGCCATTGAAAGCTAATACACCTGGGTCCATAAGACTCTCTGACAATCAAAGTATCTGTTCCTCTCAGAACAATGAATTAAACCCTTCGCCCCAATCCCATCCCCACTAGATGTGATTCTTTGATTTCCTTTTTATCTTACCAGCATTACCACAAGCCTGCCGGAAACAACATCCCACATATTTTGATTCTAAAGTCAAACAAATAACCTTACCTACAGCTAAATCTGCCTGCATCAATCGTCTCCTAATGTTTTCCTATGACGCTAGAGGCTTTCTTTTCTCTAAAGCTTACTGTGGGTATCGCTCAGAGTAATCACATGTATAAACTACCACTTCAGGAAGAAGGGAGAAAATAACCACTCTGAATGTGTATATATGATATGAATGATAAATGGTTGGAGGCTGCCTTAGCTGAGGTATGGAAGTCAAACTTTGGCAAGTATGAGAGCCATTAATTCAAGGCCTTCCAGAATCAGACAGTACTCAGATTCTTCTAGCCTAAAAAAGGTAAAAGCAAACAAATTTGCTAGTTAATGTCAAGCTAAAGTATTTCTGAGCCTTCCACTGTTCTCCAAAATGTGGGGAATTATAAGATTTTTTTAATTTCTTTCATTATTGTCACAAATCCATATTCAAAAAGATATCTGGACATTGTGCCTTTCAAATCAGGTACATTCTGACAGCTTACTGGCTTCCATGTCAGTAATGAATCCACTCTAGGCTTTGATTCCAAACGTTAATGGGGCTCTCTAAGGTGTTGAGTATACTGGGGTGGAGTAGGAGGATGCAAAATTCAGCACCTTGGATAGCTCTTTTTAAATTTAGAGGAAAACCCAAAGGAGGACCAACAGCATACACTAATAATAAGCTTGAGTACTTACCTGTGGTGAGAAAGTATTTAAAGCCAGGTGAGCAGATAATCATATAAATGGTGGAAGGATTTAAGTAGTGTTACAATATGTATAGTATGCCAGAATACCACTGTCTCTTTTCAACCCTTCTCATAGTTAGAAGTGCTGGTGCCATATGGTCTAAGGATATGGTCCATATATCCTGAAGCACAAATTTACCACCTCTGCCCCATAAGGACTCTCTTGACCATTTTCTTTCTGATTCATTGCCAGGATCACACTGGATCCCAATAACTTCCTCCATGAATCATACATTTATCTAATCACCTTGGCTTTAGGCAAAATTGTTTTCTCCTGCCACTATAAAAGTTAACTTATCACCTCATC